AATATGACATCACTGTCACCACGACTGATCAATACCATCACAACAGACCACAGACTTCCTCCTCTGGGGGGGTTATTGGAACTTGGTGGGAATCTCACATCTGGAGAGAGGACCTCGCTGTAGACCCTGTCAGGCCTCTGGCCCATTTCGTCCGTCTCCTTCGAGCCTGCGGAGGGCCTGCATCCCTTCAGCTTAAACCCAGGTGGGGGCTTTGCAGTGGAGTTGTTTGCAGTGGCTCCCCATTGGTTCTGTAAAGCGTTCTGGGTGTCTTAAAGCGCTATATAAATGTAACGTTCATTCATTCATTCAACATCGGTAGTGAACTGCAAAATTATAGTGCTTTTATCGATTACAAGACATCTAAATGGCTGATTGTAGCATCCAATAGCTATAACAAACAACATAATACCCCCATCCCCTCCCAAAAAAAAACAACAAATATCAGGTGCAAATAAGCTACACAAGCTCTGCAGTGGCGTCTGGAGAACGTGTCTTCTGCAGCTGCCTGAGTGCCAGTCAGCGGCAGCCCACTCTGGTCAGCACGGCTCCAATATCCTCTCTTTTTACAACTCTTTTCAGACGCGGCACAGAACCCAGACATCAGGAAGGGGAGCAAGACAATGAAACGCAGCAGTAGAAGAATACAACAGCGGGCAAAGATTCACAGTACGAACAGAACGGGATATGCTGGCTCTCAGGTACATACCTTAAAAAATATGCTTATATACCTCTATACAAACGACCCACAAAACAATAAAAATATACATGTGTTACTAAAATACTCTCTGGTCTTCTCTGAAGACCCCTATACAGGTTTTACACACCGGACTTAAAAAGCTTTTGCGTTAATATACAATCTATAAGGTCTGCAGGTGGTAACACTGTTGTACAGCTAATTCTAACGGTTTATGCAAACAGTTAGTCTAAATATATCTTTGTTTCACATATATACATTGTATGATTAGTACAAATATATCAAACTTACAAAATTTCCCGTCACTTTAAGGTTCAAAAAAAGAACAATACAGGAACAAAAATACCCTCCCACACTTCCCCACGGTGTGATTAAATGAGTGGCAGTGGGCACAGCATGCTTATGATGATGACGTTTACATGCATGTATAGTAAACTAAGAATACATATCATCTGTGGTAAATACTCAGAGCTCACTTACTCACTCATTCACTCACTCAGTCACTCACACACACACACTCACACAACAGCATGAGAATCACAGACGGTAACCGTCGCTCACTGAGCGGGTCGCTCAGGATTCTGGGAGCAACACGACGGCCCCATCTGTCCATGTCTGCAAAGGCTACAAAGATGTGAATGTTCAAAGGGCAAAACACCCTAAATGGATTTCCTGGTGGCGTCAGAGCAAACGAGCACCTCTACGGTCCCTGTATCACCATGTGGGCAGTGAGCCTGAATTCCAAGATACATTATCTAATGTCGGTGAGGAGTGAAAAGGTCACATGACCTGTCCGGGTGGGAATACAGGCGTAGACGTTCAGCTTAACGGACAAGCCCCAGATCAGGCACATGAACACGCGAGCATGTCACAGGAGATAGTGGCATAAGACCCAGAAAAGTCACATAATATCTCAAGCAAAAACTATTTTTTTTTTGTTTAATGCCCAATCGGGAGACAGTATAACGTGATATACTGGAGCACAGGGGCAGGCGACCCTGATCCCGGAGTGTCTGTATCCAGCGGGTTTTCCATCCCACCTGGTCTCTGATGAACCACAGTTGATCTCAGGCAGATGGTAACTACTCAGGAAGGATGGAATACTGGGTGGGTACCAGCCCTCCAGGATCAGGATCCTACCCCTGTTGTAGGATGTTTAACAAAATTAAATAATTATTAGTTGAAAATAATGTTTGGCCATTTTAGAGGTTAAAATTTGACTTATTTACAATATTAACAGCAATAAAAACTATATTATTAACATAATTACAGATAGCCCTATTCTTTGTCAGACATTTGTCTATATAGATTTAGATGGACAGCTTTTCGATGTCTCCCCCCCCCCACTGGTAAGGAATTAAAAATCTGACTGGCGTTCTGCTGCTTTCCCCTTAGATCCTGCATGTCCAGAACCATTCGCATCGGTTCCATCACAGCTTGTATGGGATGGCAGTACAGCATTTCGGGCTGCTCCGAACCTCGGCATGTCAAGTGAACGTCGTTCTTTGGTTGCAGAACCATAAAAACACACTGAATGGGGGGGGGGGGGGCTGTTCTGTCTTTTAAAGAACAATCCAAAGTAATCCCTTTCATCCCAGGGCATGCGCTGGCGGGCGCATGTCGGCTAGGCAGTGCTGCTGGAGCAGGGCGTGCTCTGCGTGCTGCCGATGCTGTGGGCGGCGCTGCTGCTCTCCGAGGCTGGCTGGGACTGGGGCACCTGCTGCCGGCCGGCCGTCTCACCTGGGGGGGGGATAGGGGCCTCATAAAACGCCTGCAGGCTGGAGCCCGTCGGGCCAACAGAAAAGGTTGTGGAGTTTCAACCATGCATCATGGAAGGACAATTCCTCAGTGTTGCCTAAACTCAGGGATATTAACACATGACGCTGAGGCTAGCCGCCGTGCTCCTCAGTGCTATAAACACATGACGCTGAGGCTAGCCGCCGTGCTCCTCAGTGCTATAAACACATGACGCTGA